CCCTACGGGTTCGAGAACAATGTAGACATGACCGAGACATGTCTCCAGTCAATAACCAATAGAGGAACCTGGATGCTCATATTGTCTCCCATATATTCTACGAAGATCTTTATCGGTCAGACCGCATAACAACATACATTGTTCCCTTTGTCATCGGTATGTTACTTGCCCGAGATTCGATCGTCGGTATCTCAATACCTAGTTCAATCTCGTTACCGGCAAGTCTCTTTACTCGTTTCGTAATACATCATTTCACAACTAACTCATTAGTTGCAATGCTTGCAAGGCTTATGTGATGTGCATTACCGAGAGGGCCCAGAGATACCTCTCCGACAATCGGAGTGACAAATCCTAATCTCGAAATACGCCAACCCAACATTTACCTTTGGAGACACCTGTAGAGCTCCTTTATAATCACCCAGTTACGTTGTGACGTTTGGTAGCACACAAAGTATTCCTCCGGCAAACGGGAGTTGCATAATCTCATAGTCATAGGAACATGTATAAGTCATGAAGAAAGCAATAGCAACATACTAAACGATCGGGTGCTAAGCTAATGGAATGGGTCGTGTCAATCACATCATTCTCCTAATAATGTGATCCCGTTAATCAAATGACAACACATGTCTATGGTTAGGAAACATAACCATCTTTGATTAACGAGCTAGTCAAGTAGAGGCATACTAGTGACGTTTAGTTTGTCTATGTATTCACAAAAGTATTATGTTTCTGGATAATACAATTCTAGCATGAATAATAAACATTTATCATGATATAAGGAAATAAAATAATAACATTATTATTGCCTCTAGGGCATATTTCCTTCAGGTACTACCGCTAGGTCAGCGGTACTGCCGCACCAGCCAGTGGCACTGCCGCGCAGAGGAGACTAGTAGGGAATAGGACCCAACACGGTACTACCGCGGTGGTAGGGGCGGTACTACCGCTCTTGAAACGGTACTACCGCCTCTACAACCGCAACTAGTGCCGCAAAACCCGACACGATAAAAAGACCCCTCGAGTCAAGGCGGTAGGAGCCAGACAGCCCAGCGGTACTACGAGAGTGGGGTCATGGGCGGTACTACCGCTGTGGAGCGGTACTGCCGCTTGGGACCCTTCGGCGGTACTACAGCTGGTAGTGCGGTACTACCACTGGGACACTGAAGAGATAGAGAGAATCTCTCCAATGAGGCTGAGGACGAGGCGGTTGTGCCAGGCACCCCAGCGGTACTACTGCTGTGGAGACAAGGGCGGTACTACCGCTGTGGAGCGGTACTGCCGCTTGTGTCTCCTCAGCGGTACTACGGCTGGGTTGCGCGGTACTACCGCTGGGACCCAGACAGGACAAGGAAAAGTGGAGAGACCTCTTCAAAGGAATGGACAAGCTCGGAGGGTGAGAAGCTGATGTGTACGTGTTGATTCCACCCATGCAAAACCCCAGCGGACCCCCTCTTGATAGTACGGTGCCCTCTACGCAACTAGTCCACCGAGAGAGAAACGAAAGAGCTACACCGTCTTGAAGGACACTCCGAAGGGAAGGAAATGTTTCGTGCCAGGGGTGAATCTGTGAACTATTCAAAGCACATGATTAGTCCGCAAACATGTTGTCATCAATCACCAAAACTACCTTGAGAGAGATATGCCAAATCCGTGTCATGGTCATTCGTTAACACGGGACGTGTTCGGATCCCCTCCAACCACTAACTCGACAAACTCCATAGATAATTTTGATTGGAACGCTTGGGCTCCACGAAACTGGAAGTGCAAAAAATTAGGAGCTCGGTCGGCCCAGCTCCATTGATTGGAAAATTTGGAGTTCGCCCAATTTACGACAACTTGCCACCGCAGAACATACCGACTCGTTGCCCCTCCCCCCCCCCCCTTGTCGAAAAAAGAACCTACCGTTGCACGAGCGATCCCGCTCGAATTGGTACACTCCCACCCTCAAAATGATGCACTGACTGACCCGAATTGGGTTGTCTCCAGCTGGCCCAATCTGCTTTGAATAGTCCACAACCCTCCCAACTAGGCTGCATCGTTGGTAGAAGTTGCCGATTAAGGATGGCAATTTTACCCATGGACATGGATATCCATGGATATCCGACCCAAATGGACAGGGTCTGGATATGCTTTTGCGTCCATGGACGCCGTCCAAACCCGACCCGATTGCTCGTGGGTAGGGCATGGATATAATCTTGTACCCGTGGATATATACAAACCCGACCCGATAGTGTGACTTAATGGGCCAAAATCTGCTATCCCTACCCCACGGTCACATGTCCCACTGCAATTTTACACTTTGTTATCTAAAACATGTAAAAGAAATTGCACAATCTCCGTCATAACTTTTATTAGTTGACATTCAATCCCCTCTGTAACATACTCCAATGCCCCTTCCCTTATTTTTATCTCCTTGTTAAATGACTCGTCATTCACAACTATTAGAAAAATACTAAATGATCTTAGCTTGTAGTGGATGTTGATTTACCATAAGTTGATGTTTAGCATAAGTGAGACCTAGCCTGCCACAAGGTGAAGAATGGAGGAGCTTATGTTAACATTGTGTTATGTGTAATTTATATGTCTTGAGAGGACCTAATGGATATCCAGTGGGTATGGATATCCATCGGGTTTGGACATGACATGATTTATCACCCATGGATTTTTTTCGTGGATGGACAAAGACTGTCTTCATGGATATGGATATGGATTTAATATTGTTCAACCCGACCCAAACCCGGCCCATTGCCATCCTTATTGCCGATGTAACCGAATGGATCTGAGATTGTTACCTAGAGCTAGAAACCACAAAGAAAAGCTGGATTTGTGGAGTTCTATTGAGCTAGTGTGCATTTTCTGCAATATGCTTACAGTTATAACTTATACTAGTCACTTATAGGTACATAATCAAGTTTAATACCTATTCAGTCCTATATATCTAAGAGAGTCATCCTATAATCAAATAAAATAAGTCACATGGATTTTCATTTTGGTTCTCATGTTATCAACCTTAATTTTCGTCAATCAATTGCCGCATCAACGCGCAGGGTATCCTCTAGTTCTATATAAATACAGAACACTGTTGCAACATATCCCAAGGAGATATACTAACAATGTATATCTGAATACGCGGAATTAAGTTGCACACTGGAAGAGATTGACATTGATTACACACATATGCAATGCATTGAACACATGTAAATGATTCTAATGGAGCCACCTATCCGCCTCTTGCGTCGATCATGACACACACTTGCCATGTGGCCCGATGGGCCCCATGCCTTATCCCTTTTCACGGCATGTCGCTCTCGTCCATCCATGCAGTCTCGCACCGCTATCTCTTCCTCTTCTCCTCTTTTTTGTCTCCCTCTCTTGCTCCTGTTGCTCACTCCCCGACCAAAGTTGTGTGTCATGCACTATAGGCCACCGAATCACCACGCGATGGAAATTGACGCCCACTGTTGCAAGCGATGGGGCCAAGTGCTACTAGGACAACCATCGCGCTACTGCAAGACGCCCGTCAATGCTGCAAGGGTTGTCTGTGATGAGCTGGCACATTTGACATCTATTCTGCGATCGGCGACAGGTGATGCTACCAACCGTCTGTTGTTTGGACGATGCTGCAAGGTGGCAACAAGGATGCTACGATGATGGACAACAATGTTGTGGCTGGCTATGCACAATGCTATGAGCCCAAGCGTGTGTAGTTGCGACTATGTTGCAAGGCGAACCACACTACTGCTAGCTAGGCGGAGACGATGACGCTACGATGGTGGACAACAATGTTGTGGCCTGCTATGCACAATGCTTTGAGCCCAAGCGCGCGCTGCTACGACAATGCTGCAAGGTGAACACCACCACTACTAGCTAGGTGGTGATGCTATGAACGACACCACCAATGTTGTGACGTATTCAGCGACACTACAGGCGAATGGAGCGGTGTGCAAGGCGGAGCGGCACTAGTGTCGAGTGTCCTCTTGCCCGAGTCATGTTGTGAGTCGTCGGCGGCTGCTGTCCTTGCAAGAGCTCGGTGCCGCGTAGTGATGAGGGCCAAGCTAAGCATTGTGTTGTGACGGTGAGCGGAGCCGTGTGCTTCGTGTGACGGGCAGGGGGTGAGAGGGGATTTTCCGTGTGTTCGTTGTGAAGCGAGGAGACCGGGATGAGGGACTCACGAATCAAATCGGTGCTAGGCTGCTTGATCCAACACCGGGTGGGACAACCAATCCAATCCAGTGACCTGATCGGCCCACCAACACCTAGCATTGTCACATGACACAAAACTAAAACTATTCACATTGATGATGAAATTGGGACGATTTTCCTTTCAATATGGTAGGAGGGCAATGGGCCACTGCAGAGCATGATGGACAAGAACAGTGGTTGTCAAGAATATGTTTTTTCAGATTAAGAAGTTGTGAAGAATGATTATTATCATTATCTTGAGGCTATTTTTCTTTATTTTAGGTCTTATTTTTATTGATGGAAACAACGATTTATTTGTATAAATATGTATGAGGCTATAACAAGTGACCATTTAAGTTTTTTCGTTTCAAAATACTGACAATAAGCAGCCTGGAAAAGCGAAAAAAAGTTAGTACAGCATCATAAGTAACAGGGCAGATGTAGAGGCAGTTCATTCATGATTCATACATTGTGAGAGCTGGCCAGTGCAGCAGAGGCAAACCACTGCATCTGCAAGATACTGTTTGGCGTTTGCATTTCATAGCAGTTGGCAACCACTCCCACAAAGCCCAAACCCAAACCACAACCCTCCCAACCTCTGCACAAACTTCTCCACTCCATGATCGCCTCTCACTCATTCACACCATATCCAACTCATCCCAGCAGGCAGCAGGACGTCTCTGCCTCTATAAAATCCGCCGCTGCCACCGCAACCCAATCAAATCAAACACAAGCACCTCTCATCTCATAAACCCCATCAAGGAACCCCGCCTTCTCCTCTCCTCCCGCGTCCGACGATCCTCACGCAAGCACCGAACATGAGCACCAGCGAGGCCGCCACTGTCATCCCCGTTTACGACGTCGCCCCCGGCCAGGGCGCGCCCTCCAAGGCCCCCGCAGCCGCGCCCCCGTCTGCCGCGGCGGCCGCTCCTGCAGCTGCGGCCACGACGACAGCCCCGCGCAAGTTCCCCATGCGGTTCTTCCGGCGGAGCGACCGCGGCAGCCGGTGCATGGCGTTCCTCGACTTCCTGCTGAGGATCGCGGCGTTCGGGCCCGCGCTCGCGGCGGCCATCGCGACCGGCACGTCCGACGAGACGCTCTCCGTCTTCACCGAGTTCTTCCAGTTCCGCGCCCGTTTCGACGAATTCCCGGCCTTCCTGTCAGTGCCCAATCCCATCATCGATCGTTCGAATTAAGTTAATGGCGAATGCCGCGCCTCATGTATTATTTCTTGCAGGTTCCTCATGGTGGCGAGCGCGATCGCCGCGGGGTACCTGCTGTTATCCCTCCCGTTCTCCGCCGTCGTCGTGCTGCGGCCTCAAACCACCGTCCTCAGGCTTCTCTTGCTCGTCTGCGACACGGTAACAACTGACAAGCCCTTTTCTTTCTTCCCGACTCGCTCCAACGGCGCCACGCACATCATGCACGTGACAGGGTGGTTAACCACTGCGATCATGCAGATCATGCTCGGGCTGCTGACGGCGGGGGCAGCGGCGGCGGCGGCCATCGTGGACCTGGCGCACAGCGGGAACGAGCGTGCCAACTGGGTGCCCATCTGCATGCAGTTCCACGGCTTCTGCCGGCGCACGAGCGGCGCCGTCGTGGCCTCCTTCCTCTCCGTCTTCATCTTCGTGCTCCTCGTCGTCCTCGCCGCCTTCTCCATCAGGAAGCGCTGAAACCAGCCTTGCTCCAGCCGGCAGTCCAGCTGCGGCAACCCCGGGCTTTGTTTAATTAACGGTGCCTGTGTTTTTAAATGTTGCATGCATCCTCAGTTTCCTTTCTGCATTTGTGTAATTCTGCGCATTGGCGAGTAAGTGGCAGTGCACCTGTTAATCTGTACTTGTATTTGTGTTGCTTGGTAATACAAGGTCGTCAGCGATCAACGTGTTCCGAAATGCTCAACTTTTTACTCAACTGACCGATTTCTTTTATGGATGGGTGTGGCTAGGTCTCAGTTGACTGCGGCTCAAGTGACATAATATATAGAAATAATTGGTTTTATGTCCCTAGTTGGGTCACACTCGGCAGGTTTACCCTTAGTTTCTGAAAATAATTGTTCCCGCCCAAACCACTTTGCTCGTTTATGTTTTTGCCCTTTGACCGTTTGACTGCCACTTTAAAAACTTCATAACAAATTCATACTAACTTAGAAAAACGTGAATAAGATATCAAAATGTTTACAAAAATATTATCTATATGTGCATCTCATTTGCATTCATGACAAAAGTGTTGGAAAGTCTCTATCTCAGTTTGAACTCATATGATCTCAGCATGAACAGTAAAATCCTAAAAAAATGTAAAAAAATTCTAAAAAAGTTGGTGGCAAACATTGACCAATGTTGTGAGTGTTTGTCAAGTTTCATAAGGTAATGACATTCGTGGAAGTTGTAGCAAAAAAAATAAGAAACAAAACTGATGCTTCACAATAAAAGCATTTTGGAGTGCTAATTTTATTTTTTTTGCCATGACTTCCATGAATGGCAGTCCCTAAATGTCAGTTAGCTCAAAAGAGAATGTCAATTAGCTCTTAAACTTTTTTTGAGCGAAAGAGAAAAAGTTTAAGCCCCTCAAAAAAAATGTTAGGGGTGGAGGAAACGGTAGCTCCTACCGGTAGCTCCTATTGGAAACGGTAGATTTGAAACAAATAATGTGAACAAAATTTGAAATTGAAAAACAGTTTTGAAAAACACAAACATTGTTTGGAATTTTGAACATTGTTTGAGAAACACGAACAAAAATTGTAAATATGTTTTTTTTATCCCAAACATTTTTTTTGAACAACATTTGTAAATCTGAATTATTTTTTGAAAATTGTGAAAAACCAAATACATATTGTTTTTCTAAAATGTGGATAAAAAACAAATTACGATTTTTTTAAGTTTCAAATAAATTATGAATAATTGAACATTTAAAAAAAGCGACCAATTTTTGAATTTCCAGACATTTTCCTAAAATGCGAAAAAATAATTGGAATTTTCAATCAATTTTTTACATAAACGGAACAATTTTTTAATTTCTATTTTTTTGATGATTTGGCTTTTTAAAGTTTTTTAATTATGAAAAAGGAGAAAGATAAAAATGATAAGAAAAAACCCAGAAATCTATAAAATAAAATAAAAGGTCCACAAACCTTCTAGAAGGTTCCCAAAACATGAACGAGGAAGTTTTGTGTACAGTTTCGGCGACACTTTGCCGCAACATGCAGCAACTAGGAAATTTCGGAGAGAAGTGCCAGAAGAGTTTGGGCTTACTTACAGATTGACTGGAACTGATATGATGCACATTGCTAGGCAAGCTAGGTTGGATTTCCAGGCAAACGAAAAACCGACGAACGAGGCGACACGGGCCGACCCACTTCCTGAAAGCAGCCGGTTTTGGGAACCTTCTAGTAGGTTCCCTGAACCGTTTTTTTATTTGGCCGGTTTTTCTTTTTTTTTCTATTTTTTTTCTTTCTTTCTGTTTCTGTTTTTTCTGCGTCCTTTTCTTTTTCTTTCATTTGATCATTTGATCATTTTTCGTTTTTATTTTTATATTTTGTTTTCAAGAAAAAAATTGAAATCCAAATTTTTGTTCGTGATGTCAAAAAAAGTTCACGGATTCCTTTTTTTACTTTTTAAAATTTAGTTCACAATTTAAAATAGTTCAGCATATATCACAAAATGTTCAACGTGTATTTAAATGTTTGTTTAGCTTATATCACAAAATTGTTTACTGTGTAGTTAAAAATTGTTTAGCGTATATTACAAAAATGTTTAATCTACATTTTAAATGTGTTCATCATATATCACTAAAATGTTTAATATGTTTTAAATATTATTGAGCATATATCACAAAATGTTCATTCTGTAGTTAAAAATTGTTCAGCGTATATATTACAAAAATGTTTGATGTATAACTATTCATCTTATATATATATTCAATAATTTTTTGTTTCCTTAAAAAGAAATCCCATGTTTTCAATAATCGTTCACGTTTTTCAAAAAGAAAATACACATTGAAAAGTTTGTTCCAGAAACATTATTCATTTTTAAGGAAGATTAAAAAAGAGATCTGCCGATGTACATGTTACTTTTAGCTCAGCGCGGTAGTTTAAGATGAACTCACTCGCTAGGTGAAGTAGCTGGAGACGTGTTTACCCTGCGCTAGTCCACGGTATCAAATCCATCCATCACTCCATTTTTCTGACATTTTCTATTACGTTCAGTTGTCGCCTAGTAAATGGGCCGGCCCGTGTACGCGAATTCTTCAGCGAAAGGTCTTGCTTTTGACGCTCATGGGCGTCGAGCAAGAGCTCCCAGATTTCCATAAACCCTTCTCTTTGGAGGTGGTGTTCACTGCGTGTTGGAATATATGGACCGTGAGGAATGCAAGGGCTTTTAGGCATGAAAGGCCTACTTTCTACAAGTGGAGGAAGGGTTTTGTACATGATATCTCTTTGTTATCTCATAGGATTAACTCTAAATTCAAACATGATATGGCGAGAGATAGGTTTCTTTCTTACCTCCTTGATAGGGGATAGGTTAGTTTTTCTTTTTTAATTTTCTTTCTTCCTCCCTCTTTTTGTATATGATGATGTAAATATTGCATGTGTATGGGTGAGGCTGTGGGGTAAACAGTAAAGAAAACAATCAGGGGTAACGTCAGATTTTGATGTGCTCTAATAAGCACACATCTAAATGTACCTGGTGCAATCCAAATTCAGTTAATATGGTGGTCCCTGGGAGGCGACGGCGTGGTCGGCTGGCTACAGTCCGTTGTGCGAGGGTGTTCGCTGAGTCTGCTCCGAGGGCAGGCTTGCCTGACTATGGTAGGCCGACGATGGTGGCGCCTACGAGCGTCGTTCCCCTTTCTTGAAGGCACTGATGTGGAGCTCTTCTACTCGCTCCATCCTCGAATCTTGTTGTAGAGGCGAAAGCCTAGACCTTGCTGGGTCGGGAAATAACGTTGTCCCTGCCCCCCCCCCCCCTTGGGGTGTTGCTTTAAAGACCCGCTAGCCTTCCCTGCGCTTCCCTTTCGGGCTTTGCGACTTGTGCGGCGATAACGATGATGGCGTGCGGAGCTGGGTCGTGGCTTGTCCTTCTGATGTCAATTGTCCGGTTCGCCAACAAGTGCACCTATGCTTGTTTCTCACTGTGTCAGAGAAGTTAGAGCTGTGTACGGTAGGGCCCTGCGGCAATGATGACTCCATGAGGGGTGGTTTCGATGGGCGGTGCTCTCTGGAGGTTGTGCCATGTTGGGTAGATGCGAGGCGTGCAACTTTCTCCTGGGAAGTACGTCAGGAAAATAGAGGTTGTGCCATGTTGGGTAGATGCAGTGGCGGATACAGGCCCAGGCCCCCAGGGCCCAGGCCTGGGGTGTAAGGCCCAATTTCTTCCTAGATTGGAGCGAATTACTGTGCACATCGCTACAGTACACAAAGAGGGCCCGGGACGGCCCGCTGGGCTGCCTCTGCCCCTGGGTAGATGCGAGGCGTGCAACTTTCTCCTGGGAAGTACGTCAGCAAAATAGGAGCTACCAGTCCTCGCATCTGCACTTGATTCGTTTGAAGGGGTCTTGACAGGTCGTCTACGGCGAAGTTGAAACTACTCGGGAGAGGTGATGACCATGAAAGGCAAGCAGTCTCAACGACATCCTCTTCAGGGCATGTGTGGTCTGGTTGGTGCCAGGTCACCCGGGCTGCCCTTTCTTGTGGGCACGTTGTATCGGTTTTTGCCATGGTTTTTATTAATTAACCGGTAAACTCTATTCTACCTTAAGGGACCACGTTTCAAAAAATATTGCAGTTGTTGGACAGGTATAAGGTGTACATATGGTAGTAATATATTATCAACGTATACCAGTTGCTGCACGGCTTACCTATCTGGTGTTTACTCTGATGTCACATGCAATCCCAATCAAAGTTCAGGTTCTACATTTTCTGCGTGAATTTTGTGCAGTAATAGATATGCACAACATTACAGATTCATAAGCCTGAATCTTGTGTGTGCACACAACTTAACGTGTGAAATCATCTAGTATCTATATTCCAAAATCTGCATAAATGATAGTTGTGCATCCACGGTTGTATACATGAGTTGCACAGATAGTCAACCACTATACTTAAAATGCATGGCCAAGAAAATTTAAATTGTCTGAATTCACTGTGGTAGATGTAATACCTTGATAATGGCGTCACTCCGGGGCAAAGCATTAAAATGTACTACCTCCGCCCCAAATTATAAGACGTCTTGTTAGGCTATTTTAGTCTATCAGAACATCTTATAATTTGGAACAGAGGAAGTATTTTTTTTTAACAAGCATAGTTATTCCACCAAACTACAGATATTGTAACCTTGTAACACCAGCAACATAGCCTGACTCGGCCCCAAAAGGCCATTACACAACTTTGATGTAAAAAGATAAGATTGCCTCACATGTTGTAAGTTCAGTTCACAACTCAATTCTCTCAACAAACCCAGTCTAATCGGATCTTGTAAGAGGATCACATAGTACACAGGTAGATCTGATCATTCAGTGGCGCTAATAAGGAGGAACTCCCCCTCACACACTACGTCGCCACCCACATAAGCTTTTCCTTCCATCTTTGCAAGCCCGAATTTCCTCTGATATTTGGTGAGGGTCATCCTCATGACCAGAGTGTCACCAGCAATCACTGGCTTCCTGAATCTCACCTTAT